GAAGGCTGGGGCCTGGCTTGGACTGTCTAGAGGTTTGCAGCTGTAAAAGAGGGCTGACTTCTTCAGTCACTGTGAGCCTGTGGCTTTTCTGCAGTAAGTGCTCCCTGACCCAGGGTATTATTGGCCCCATAGGAACAAAAGAAAAGCTCTCTTTCAGGACAAAGATGAGGCTTCTCATTTTTTTTGTCTTTACTTTGTCTTTTTTTTTTTTAAGATTTTATTTTTAAGTAATTTCTACACCCAATGTGGGGTTTGAACTCACAACCCCGAGATCAAGAGTTGCACACTTCCACAGACTGAGCCAGCCAGGCGCCCCATGGCAGTTATTTGTATCTTTTTTAAAATCATTCCTTTTTGAAAATATGGAATATAAATGTCAACAGACTCAACATGGAATGATGACATTTTCATCATTATGATGATCATCTTTCTATTACCTTGGAAAAGTAGGAACTGTAGCTTTTAATTTGTAAGTATTTAGAAGCTATATTGGATTTTCAAGAAAAATGATAAATTTTATACACACCAAGTTCTGCCAAGCATCCTAGTACTCTTATTCTCCTTTCCCAGAAAAGAAAACAAAGCTTTAAAAAGCTCCTTGGTTGAGTATCAAAAGAAAGAAAGGAGTGGAGGTAGAGGTTGCTACATCTCATCTCCCCACCATGTCCCTGAGGTAGCTTGGGTCCTGATTGCAAAAGGGAGTAAGAAGTGGCTTTGAGGGGCGCCTGGGTGGCTCAGTCAGTAAAGCATGCAAGTCTTGATCTTGGGGTAATGAGTTAGAGCCCCATGTTGGGGGTAGAGTTTACTTAAAAACAAAAGACAAAAAAAGGTGGCTTTGAATTTTGGTTTATTATGTACATAATAGCTGTTATTAAAGAATCTCCTGCCTTGGTCTAATTGCTTACAGTGAGACTAGAGCACCTACAGCCACTTTGTTTGTTTGTTTTTCATAGCTTATGGTATTAAAAGTACAACTGATTGTACCCTGAAATATTCAGGGACCTCTGAATAAATCAACTAGTTAGCAAATTCAGTATTTTCAGACAGGGCAATTTTTTTTATTTTTTATTTTTATTTATTTTATTTTTTTTTAAAGATTTTTTATTTATTTATTTGAGAGAGAGAGAATGAGAGATAGAGAGCACGAGAGGGAAGAGGGTCAGAGGGAGAAGCAGACCCCCCGCTGAGCAGGGAGCCCGATGCGGGACTCGATCCCGGGACTCCAGGATCATGACCTGAGCCGAAGGCAGTCGCCTAACCAACCGAGCCACCCAGGCGCCCAGGGCAATTTTTTTAAATTATGTTAGCACCATACAGTACATCATTAGTTTTTGATGTATGTTCCATGATTCATTGTTTGCGTATAACACCCAGTGCTCCACGCAGAACGTGCCCTTCTTAATACCCATCACCGGGCTGACCCATCCCCCCACTCCCCTCCCCTCTAGAACCCTCAGTTTGTTTCTCAGAGTCCATAGTCTCTCATGGTTCATCTCCCCCTCTGATTTCCCCCGCTTCATATTTCCCTTCCTTCTCCTAATGTCCTTCATGCTATTCCTTAGGTTCCACAAATAAGTGAAACTATATGATAATTGACTTTCTCTGCTTGACTTATTTCACTTAGCATTATCTCCTCCAGTCCCATCCATGTTGATGCCAATGGTGGGTATTCATCCTTTCTGATGGCTGAGTAATATCCCATTGTATATATGGACCACATCTTCTTCTTTTTTTTTTAAATTTTTTATTGTTATGTTAATCACCATATATTACATCATTAGTTTTTGATGCAGTGTTCCATGATTCATTGTTTGTTCATAACACCCAGTGCTCCATGCAGAACGTGCCCTCCTCAATACCCATCACCAGGCTAACCCATCCCCCCACCCCCCTACCCTCTAGAACCCTCAGTTTGTTTTTCAGAGTCCATCATCTCTCATGGTTCGTCTCCCCCTCTGACATACTCCCCTTTTCTTCCTCTCCTGTTATCTTCTTCTTTTCCTTTTTTCTTAAAATATGTTGCGTTATTTGTTTCAGAAGTACAGATCTGTGATTCAACAGTCTTGCACAATTCACAGTGCTCACCGTAGCACATCCTCTCCCCAATGTCTATCACCCAGCCATCCCATCCCTCCCACCCCCAACCACTCCAGTAACACTCAGTTTGTTTCCTGAGATTAAGAATTCCTCATATCAGTGAGGTCATGTGATACATGTCTTTCTCTGATTGACTTATTTCACTCAGCATAACACCCTCCAGGTCCATCCACGTCGTTGCAAATGGCAAGATCTCATTCCTTTTGATGGCTGCATAATATTCCATTGTGTATATATACCACATCTTCTTTATCCATTCATCTGTCGATGGGCATCTTGGCTCTTTCCACAGTTTGGCTATTGTGGACATTGCTGCTATAAACATTGGGGTACACGTACCCCTTCGGTGGACCACATCTTCTTTATTCATTTGTTGAAGGGCATCTCGGCTCTTTCCACAGTTTCGCTATTGCGGACATTGCTGCTATGAACATTGGGGTGCATGTGGCCCTTCTTTTCACTACATCTGTGTCTTTGGGGTAAATACCCAGGAGTGCAATTGCTGGGTCATAGGGTAGCTCTATTTTTAATTTTTTGAGGAACCTCCACACTGTTTTCCAAAGTGGCTGTACCAACTTGGATTCCCACGAACAGTGTAAGAGGGTTCCCCTTTCTCCACAACCTCTCCAACATCTGTTGTTTCTTGCCTCCCTACAGCCACTTTAACAGTATGCATGAAAGATCTTGGGTGAAGTTAGAGATAGCATCAAAAGCCAATGGAAAGTGGACTCTTCCAGGACCTGTCATTATGTTGGACTCTCTCTTCCTCTTTCTGTTGGTGCTTTGGCCACAGTAGCCTCCTTTCACTTCCTTTGACCTCAGCTAATTTGTTTGTGCTGCTACTGCTCTTCACATCGTTACCTCTACCCATCACACACATTTCCTCCAGGACATCTTAACCTGATTACCCCACCCCACCATCGGTCAGGTCCCCTTGTCATGGCCTTAGGACCCCAGTATGGTTCCTTCGTAATTATGATCACATGTATTTGTGTGATAGTGTGTGTTTGTCATCTTCTCTGCTAGATTATAAAATTCACAACAGCAGGGACTTTTTTGCTCACAAGATCATACCTGCATTGAGAGCACAAGGTCCAGCACATGGTAGATACCTAGTAAATGTTTGTTAGATGAATGAATAAGTGTTAGGGCCAGTCTCATCCACTTTGTAGAAAACCCTTGTTTTGGTATCAGTGTAAGTAAGGAATATGTTGATAGCAAATAATTGAAAACCTAACGAACAGTGGCTTAAATAAGTAGGTTTTGTTTACTGTGACATACAAACATACAAAATACCTGAATTTTACAGTGAACACCTGTATGCCAACCACCTAGATTGTACCATTGACATTTTACTATACTTTATCACTTAGCTACTCATGTAGCTCTCCTTTTTTTTTTTTTAAAGATTTTTTTTTTTTTATTAGATACAGCGAGAGAGGGAACACAAGCAGGGGGAGTGGGAGAGGGAGAAGCAGGCTTCCCGCCGAGCAGGAGCCCGATGCGGGGCTCGATCCCAGGACCCTGGGACCATGACCTGAGCCGAAGGCAGCCGCTTAACGACTGAGCCACCCAGGCGCCCCACCTTTTTTTTTTTTTTTTAATGCATTTCAATGTGAAGTAGCAGGCATTAGCACATTTCACCCTAAATACTTCAGCATACCTGTCATTACCTGGAGTTCAATATTGGCTTAAGGTTCTTGTTCTTGTAAATTTAAATTTGATAAAATGCCCAAATCTTAATTTTACTATTCAGTATGTTTTGATAAATGCAAACATTTATGTAACACAAACCCCTATGAAGATACAGAATGTTCTCTCATACCTTTTCATTTTATCCCCACTCATCCCCTAGAGGCAAACACTGCTCTGATTTTTTTCTATCATGGAATAGTTTTGCCTGTTCTAGAACTACACATAAATACAGGAAGTGCTCTTTTGTGTAAGGCTTCTTTTACTAAGCATAATGTTTTTGAAATTAATCCATTTTGTTGCGTGTATCAATATTTCATTCCTTTTAAAAGCTGATTAGTTTTCCATGAAATGAATATAACAATTTATCTATTTACCTGTTTGATACATTTGTGGGTTTTTTTTTTCACAGTTTGAGCCTATTATAAATAAAACCTATGAATATTATTGCACAAGTCTTTCTGTGGACATTTGTTTTCATTTCTCTTTGATGAATACCTAAGATTGGAAATACCGGGTCATAGGCTATGTGTATATTTAGTTTTCCTAGACCTTTTTCCGAAGTGATTACACCATTTTTTACTGCCTCCCCCAACATTTGATGTTATTCTTATCTCTTCTGGTGGGGGTGGAGCTGTGTCTTATTTTGAACTATTTTCCCTCTTTCACATTATAAGGAATCTAGGGAGACAGGCCATGCGTGGGGTAGGTACTTAACAATGCAGTCAGGGACCCAGGCACTTTATAGCTTTTTGTTCATCCTTAGTGGGTTGATCATAGTTCCATGCATGGCATCTGGGGTAGGCAGTCCTGCCTCTTGGTATTCCTGCCCTTGTGTAATCTCCTCTCATTGATTGTGGGCTGGACTTAGTGACTAGCTTTTTTTTTTTTTAAGATTTATTTATTTGAGAGAGTGTGTGCACGCATATGTGCGCAAGGGGGTGGGTGGGGGCAGAGGGAGAGGGAGAGAAATCCTCAAGCAGACTGCCTGCAGAGCATGGAGCCTGGATCCGGGGCTCGATCCCAGAACCTGGAGGTCATGACCTGAGTCAAAATAAAAAAATTGGACGCTCAACTGCCTGAGACATCCAGGCGCCCCTAGCTTTTAATAGAATATAGCAGAAGTAAGAGGATGCCACTTCTGAGATTGTTATAAAAAGAATGTGGCTTTTTTCATGCGCATTCTTTCTCATTCTTTTTTCTCGGGAAAGCCAAATTGCCATATTATGAGGCAGCTCACAATTGCCATGTTGTGAAGAGACCACGTGGATGTGATGAGGGACAATGGAGCCTGCCAACAATCAAAACAGTGAGCTTAGAAAAAGATCTCCCCCTAGTTGAGCATTCAGATGAGACTGCAGAACCACACCTGGATTCCTGACCCACAGAAAACAAGATAATAAATGTTTGTTGTTTTAAACCATCAAGTTTTGGGGTAATTTGTTACACAACAATAGATAGACTAACACGACACCTCATGATCGCATATCATAAGATGGCTTCTGTACCTTCAGGGTCTCATGTTCATGCTCCACACACAGTAAGAAAAAGTGTGAAAGGCAAAGGACAAAGAGGTTTTTCACATCAATCTGTTCATTTTTATCAAGAACTCAGAATCTTCCAAAAAAATCCCACTCAGCAGACTGGTTTATATCTTATTGGCCAGAGATAACACCACATGATCACTCTTAGCTAGAAGGCAGCTAGAGAGAAGGGGGGACCTACATGGAGTTTGCATCAGCCAACTCTCAGTCTCTGGCACATAAACCATTTCAGAAACCCCATAAAATTTTTAAAGACCACTTCCTTAACACTACTCCAGCCAAGTGGCCTTTTGAGGAAATTTCGAAAAGACCTATTCAAATGAAAATTTCAGAAAACTCCTCAGGGCCTGGGTTGCACGCTTTGATTTCTGATTTGTGCCCCACACCATTCTGGGAAAGCTGCAGCGCTATCTTCCACTGTTACTTCTATGTCTCCAGTCCTTTGAAATAGAAACTTTAGAGTCATCTGGAAATATCCCTGATCACTCCCTGCCCCAGCAAAATGGCTCCTCAAGTTCTGCTAATATTATAGCCTTCATACTTTTTTAATCCCTCTCCTCTCCTTTACTGACCTTTTTTGTGTGTGTGTGTGAGATTTCATTATTTGAGAGAGAGCGCACATGTGCGCACAGTGTATGGGCAGAGCAGAGGGAGAGGGAGAAGCAGCCTCCCCGCTGAGCAGGAAGTCCTGGGGCTCTATCCCAGGACCCTGGGATAATGACCTGAGCTGAAGGCAGATGCTTAACCGACTGAGCCACCCTGGTGTCCTACTGCCCTCAGGATGAAGCTTTAACTTCTTCCCGTGGTAGCAAAGACCCTGTATTACAGGATATGGCCCACTTCCCCAGCCTTAACTCTTTGATCTGGACTTGGTGTTCCCACAACACCAAATTGCTGACCTCTCTTGCCTTTGCTTACACTGTCCCATCTGCCTGGTAGGGCTTCACTTTTTTTTTTTTTTTTTAAAGATTTTATTTATTTGACAGAGAGAGACATAGTGATAGAGGGAACACAAGCAGGGGGAGTGGGAGAGGGAGAAGCAGACTCCCCGCGGAGCAGGGAGCCCGATGCGGGCCTCGATCCCAGGACCCTGGGATCATGACCTGAGCCGAAGGCAGACACTTAACGACTGAGCCACCCAGGCGTCCAGGGCTTCACTTTTGATTGAGAACGCCACTTGATATCCTTAAGGATTCAGCTTTGGTAGCAGCTTTTCTAGAAAGTTTTCTAGGACTACTACTAACTCCTGCAACAGTGGGCCTGCTGGCTTCCTCAGTAGCTCAGTAGTGTTCAAATCCTTTTCCCTTAATGGGGGAAAAGGCCATACTAGGTTGACCTAGTAGAAAAATCAAATAAAACAATAGGATATGGAATGAAAAATAAGTCTCCCTCCTATTCCTGTCCCCCAGTTCCTTTTCTCCAGTTTCTTAGTGCATATGCAAATATATTTTTTCATATTATTTTTGCACAATCTTAAGGTGTTTTTTGCCTTGTTTTTCCAATTAACACTGTACTTTGGAGATCATTCTATCAGTTGACATAGATCTAGCTCATTCTTTAAAGAGATGCAGCAATATCTTCTTGTATGCATATCTTAATTTGCTCAAGCAATTTGTTTTCGGACATCTGGGTTATTTCTGATTTTGCTCTCACAAGTAGTGCCGCAAAGTCCAACATCTTTGTACAAATGGATTTGAGTACAGGTGGAAAATATCTTTTCCACAGTTTCTTAGGGGCAGAATTGCTAGATTATAAGGCTAGGTCAAAGGCCAAGAGGATTGTAAATTTTGATATAAAGCTCTAAATAGTCAACCGATTTATTCTTCCCATCAACAACCCAGCTCTGCTGTATTCGAGTTAGGCCGTGTACCATACTAGTCTGGATATGTTTTGAGGGCGGGCATTTCCTAATATTCACATTTGTCTGGCAGAATTGGCCTTCAATAAATATTTGACTTAATGTTGAATTTTATGTCTAAGTGCCGAGTCCAGGACTGGCATATAGCAGACTCAGCAGGTATCTATTACAATTCCTCAATAATTAGAGTTGCTAACATTTACTTAAGTGTATTAAATGCCAGGACATGCGTAAGCGCTTTCCCTTTCCCCTTTCACTCACGTTCTCCTTCCTCCGGGGGAGAGGGCGTGCCCAGCACCACGACCCGCCCTATCTGTGCATTCGTTGGCCAAACCCGACGCCCGTTACTGCCGAGTCCCGCCCAAGCCACGCCCCCACGCGCCGCCGGGCTGAGAGAAGGCGTGGCTATTGTGCAGCTCGAAGATTCAGACGGTCTCCTCTCGTGAGAATCGGGACGTGCCCGAGGACCCGCTTGGTGCGGGTGGGAGCGCGCTCCGCGGTCACGCGGAGCTGGCGCAAGAGGACTGTGGTCGCTGCGGGCGCACGCCCGGCCCCACCCCCTCTCCGGCACGCTGGCTCCGCGCGAGCTCGCGCACGCGCGCGCGCTCCCGTTCAAGCTTCGGTCTGGCCAGCGGCAACCGGGCGGGTGGCGCTGGGCCGCCTGAGGTACGAGGGGAGGAGCCGGAGCCGCCGCCGCCGCCGCCGCCGCTGCTGCTGCTGCCGCTGCTGCTGCCGCCGCCGCTGCCGCTGGAGAGGAGCATGTCTGCAACTCGAGCCAAGAAAGTGAAGATGGCCACCAAATCGTGCCCCGAGTGCGACCAACAGGTGGGCGCCGGGGGCCGGAACCGGGAGCCGGCGGGCCGGGTGCGCCGGCGGGCGGACGGGCTGCCGTTGTCTGCGGCCGCTGGCTGTGGAGAGGCCGCCTCGCCTGGTGGTCTGGCCCTTGGGCTCGGTGGCCACGGTGGGAGCCCGGTGGGAGGCCGGGCTACGCCGAGGGGATGCCAGGGAGACTCCCGGGGTCGCAGTCCGGCCGGTGCCCACCTGGCGGCGTTAGCTGGGCGACTGTGTGTGTCCCGCGGCCCGTGGCGCGGGAGGGAAGCGTGGGTTTGTCTGGAGCGGACGGGGCGCCCTGACCGAACCCTCCCGGAGTCGCCTGGCTGGCTTTGGGTGACAGCGGCGGGAGTGTGGGGGCAGTGGCCTAAATAGAGGAGCACGGCCCCTTCAGATCCCTTCTGCCCCGACGAGAATGCCCAGTGTGCCCGGCTCCGAGTCCAGGCTCCTGGCTCCTGGCTGCGAAAGCCGCTCCTGCGACGCAGGGTTGCTTTGTTCCCATCAGATCTATACTGTGATCCCCCCAAACTGTTCCCACCTGGGGGGGGGGGAACGCTTAAATGTGACAAAAGGGGCCGCAATGCAATGGTTTCAAGTTTAGGCGAATTTGGACATTTTTCCTCCTAAATATATTTCTTATATTTTTGACGGAAATAATCGTGAATCTTTACATTGTTTTTTTGTGGAACATTATTGAATAACGCCCCCAGTGAAGCCCATTCCTTCTGGGTACTCCTCACCTCCCCCACTCGCCGCCGTATCCGCTGTTAAAAATTTGGCGTTTCTGCTTCATGATTTTTTTTAAAAATTTATATGTAGTTTCATGAATTTTAAATGACTTCTTTCTACACAAAATTAATAGTGTCATAGCTGTAATTTTAAAAATTTCATTTTACTGTTTCTTAGTTTTATGCATGCCTCATTCTTTACTGGAATAATGGACGTTCCTTACAATCTATTGAGTTAAAATTCTCAATTAAAACCATCCGAAGGCCCTTCTTTCATGTCAGTGTGCATATCTGGGTGTGATTTTTTTCTTTTCTACTGAGAGAATTTTTTCAAAATGACTACCTCTCTTCTCCCCTTTCCTTAAAAAAATTTTTTTTTCTTTAAATCAGTAATTTGAAATGGCTGGAGACTTCTTTAAAAATAACATGCTGATGTCAGTGCATTCTTTAAGAGCAATCTTGTACCTTGATCAAATCTTGTAAAAGAAAATGTTAAATGTTTTATTCAGTATCTTTTATGGGCCTGTGGTAGAAATGCAAGGAAGGAAGATTGTGTAAGGAGAATTACAGTTTTATTGATATTATGAGTTTATTGAGTATGCAGTATAAAAACAATTTAGTCATGTTTCCCGAAGTAGAGTTAAACTTCCCTTCTTACCATTTGACTAAGTTTACCGCTTAAACTAAATCTGTTAAATTCTGACAAAATTGGACTTTGTGATTTAAGTCTGTTTGCAGGAGATTATATCAATATTTAAATCATTTCCATTTGTTCCAATTAACTGTGCTGAAGTATATGGTTTACATGTTATGCTTTATGCATTTCAGTTTCTGTAGGGCACAAGTTACTGCAAATCTTGACCTTGTTTTATTTGGCATAAAGTAATCTTTTGGGAAAAGTAACCTGTTTTTAATATCCTGGTTAAAGAAAAAGGGAAGGACGATAAGCTTGTTAGGAGTCCCTGTAATTGTTCAACAAAATGTGATCAGCATTTTATTTGGAAACATACATTAATTTTGTTATACACACACAACACGTCCTCCCTTCCCCCCCAGCTGCCATAACAAAATACCATAGGTTAAGTGGCTCAAACAATAGCAATTTATTTTCTCACAGTTCTGGAGGCTCAAAGTCTGAGATCTGGCAAAGAGAGAGAGCTTTCTGGTTGCCTTATAAGGCCACTAATCCCATCATGAGGGCCCCACCACCGTGACTTTAAACCTGATTATCTAACCTCCAAATACTTTCAGATTGGGGATTAGTGCTTAAACATATGAATTTGGGGGGATGACAATTCAGTCCATAGCAAGCTACTACATAATTTAGAATGTTGGTTTTGTTCTTTATTGTAAATATTTAAGAGAATATAATATACATAAGGACTAATTAAAACTTTTGGTGATTCGGGTGCCTGGGTGGCTCAGTTGGTTAAAGCGGCTGCCTTCAGCTCAGGTCGTGATCCCAGGGTCCTGGGATCGAGTTCCGCATCAGGCTCCCTGCTTGGCAGAGAGCCTGCTTCTCCCTCTCCCTCTGTCTGCCTCTCTGCCTACTTGTGCTCTCTCTATCTCTGTCAAATAAATAAATAAAATCTTTAAAAAATAAAAATAAAAAATAAAACTTTTGGTGATTCTTAAAATTGATTTATCTTTTACTAAAAGTAACTGGTTTGAAGGAAATAAAAGGTTAATTTTAGTTTTCTAATTATTGGAGAGTACAAGCTTCTTATAGTTATAAATGAGAAAAAATTATAATCCAGAAAGCCATTTTTTAAACATCATTAGATTATTGTTATTCTGAGTTGTTTGATGAATATTAAAATAGAATTTAGGTATAGTTTATAAACAAAAGGATATGTAAAATCTTTAGTTTGAGATTGCACCACTTAAATAGATTTACATATATTCTTTGTGTGTGTAGGTTTAAAAACAGGTACAGAGATCAGCAAACAAGAAAGACCTAGATTTTCAGTTGTTTTATAACATCTCCTTTACATGTCTCCATTGAAAATACCGTTCTGAAACATCTCAACCACAATACTTTTCATTTTTGAGAGGTTTCACATCCAGTAGCTCAAATTACTGAACCATTTTGTATGTAGTAATATTCAAGATTCTTGTTAGTTGTCTGGGATCTTTTGTGTATGTTTCTGTTTCTGCTTAATTTTTTAAAATAGAGCAGCTTTTTTTTTTTCTATTTATATGAAATTTTATGTGCTATGTAGCAAACATGTCTACTGTAGGTCACTTTGATTCTCTTAGCAGCAAGAATGTAAATTAGTTCTCTATAATGTGGTTATTTTGAACTTTTAAAAAAATCAGTGAAACAGTATAAGACCAGGATCTTGTTTCTTGCACTTATTTTACCCTTTTTTTAACTTTTTACTTGTTTTTAGCTGTTTTACTTGTAAACATAAAAACAACCTGAATGTACTTTTCAAAGGATAAATTGATGAAAAATAAGTCATCAATAAACAAAACTTTTCTTTTTTTTCTGTTTTAAAACCCTGAGAGTATAGCATTAGAACTTTCGTTAGTGTCATCTTTGGCATTACAACTGAAATTTGAAGGAAACGTAGGGTTTTTTGTTTTAAAACCAAATTATACTGTAAAGAGATTAATATTACTGAAGCCCACCCTATTTAATAATTCTTTTTCTAGGATTTGGGTTGTGGTGGTAGTTAGTTGTACTTTTTTTCAGGGTTGGGGTTGGGAGAAGGAACTTTCCATTTTAAAAGGGACTTTAGGGTGACTTAGCTCAGGCACATAAATGTTTCTTGATCATAAAACATTCTTAAGGAGTGAAAATCAGCTTATCAATTAGCGTTTGTGCATTCTTTCATCCCAAAGCCATATGTACATATCTCAGATACCTAAGTGCAGCCCTCTGTTAATTTAGACTATGTGTTATGTATTTTTCTTGTATATAAGACAGAGACCTAAATTTAAATTTGTTCAGTTTTAGTAGCTGGAAGAAAATGCTTGTGGAATAGCAAAGGAACTTTTGAATAAGAACATCATGTTTCTGTGTTTTTTGGATAACATTAATTTAAAACAATTTATATTACATTGAATGTCTTTAATGATGTGTGTAAGTATAAAGGAAATGAGTCAGTACCTTTGAGTTTAGTTTCTATGAAGATGTGAAATTTTAAAAATGACAAACATCTATTTTGGGTGCATTTTACAATATTAAAAAATGTAACATTTCTTTCTGTCCTGGCATGAAAGAATCTCATCACATTCTTAATAAAGCATGCTATTTGACCTATTGAAGTTTGATTATTTTTTTAAGATTCATTGTTATTTTTCTTAAATGCAAACTAGAGATCCTTTGTTCAGTGTTTTTATGCAAAGGAAAAGAATTCTGCCAGAATATTAATTAAGCTTAATTAGATCAAGTATTTATATTTCAGACTGTGAAGCATTCTTTACATACATGGATAAAAAGTTTTATTTTTAAATTTTTTTTTATTTTAGAGAGTGCACTCAGTGGGGGGAGGGGTAGAGAGAGAGAGAGATTCTTCAAGCAGACTCCCCACTGATCATGGAGCCCTATGCCCGGCTCGATTCCAGGACCCCAAGATCATGACCTAAGCCAAAATCAAGAGTCAGCCACTTAACGGACTGAGCCACCCAGGCACCCCTGGATAAAAAACTTTATAATTGTAACTAAACTTTTACATAAGCAGAACAATGGGCAAATGGAATTTATCTCACAAAGTGAATTGCAGTTTTCTGACCATAAAATATTCTGTGAGTACTTTTTGTTGAGATTAATTTCTGGTTTTTGGTGAACATGTCTTGATTTCAAGGATCATTAAAGTTAATATGAGTGAAAAAAGTTAAATTGAGTGAAATGATTGCAGAGAAATCAAAACATTTTAAAAATGATTTTAGGTAACATTTGGCTTTTGAAAAATTATAGATTTGAAATAGAGAAAGGAGCTACTTGTAATTTACACATTTAGAAACAGAAGTTTGAAGAGCTTAAGTGTTTTATCCAATGTCCTTCCTGGAGCTGAGACTAAAGAGATCCTAGATCTTGACGCCTCCTACATTCTCTTTTGTTTTGTGCTATCCTTTGCCCCACAGAGTAGTTGTTGTAAACTATTCTTTTTTTGTCAGTGGTAATTGGCATTTTGCCCTCTCCTATTAGAACGAGTCATTTTCAGTACTTTCCCTTTAAAAAAATTTTTTTAAGGAAAGTATAGTTGGCATACAATGTTATGTTAGTTTCAGGTGTACAACATAATGTTTTGACAACCCTATATAGGTTATGCTATGCTCACAATAAATGTAGCTACCATCTGTCACCGTACAAGGCTATTCCAGTACCATTGACTGTATTCCCTGTGCTGTACCTTTCAACCCAGTGACTTACTCATTCTATAATTAGGAACCTATACCTCCCACTCCCCTTCACCCATTTTGCCTAGTCCCCTACCCAGCCCCCTCAAGGGGCCATCAGTTTGTTCTCTGTATTTATGGGTCTGTTTCTACTTTTGTTTGTTCATTAGTTTTGTTTTTTAGATTTCACTTATAAGTGAAATCATATGATATTTGTCTTTTTCTGACTTACTTCACTTAACATAATATTTTCTATATCCATCCATGTTGTTGCAACTGGCAAAATCTCATTCTTTTTTATGTCTGAGTAATATTCTGCTGTGTGTATGTGTGTGTGTGTGTGTATCACATCTTCATCCATTTATCTGTGGATGGACACTTGGGTTGCTTCCATATCTTGGCTATTATAAATAATCCTGCAATAAACCTAAGTGCATATATCTTTTCAAATTAGTATTTTTGTTCTCTTTGGGAAAATAGTGGAAGTATTTTCCCCTTTTGAAATGTTTGGCACATCTGCCTTTTCTCCATTTCCATTCTCACTATTCCAGTTGGGTCCTCATTCTTATGCTGGGGTTACTTTAATTACTTCCCAACCACACTCCCTTTTCCAGTTGGTGCTAATAAACTGCCATCAAACAGATATTTTAGGAAATACTACCTTTTTCCCACATATTTTCCCCTGTTCTGATTCTCTTACGGTTTTCTATTGGTCACTCCCATCAGTACGTGTTTATCATGCATTTTCTATGTACGTGGTATTGTAAAGCATTAGGAGAATGTGAAGATGTATAGGACACAATACCAGTCTCGATTTGTTGTAAGGAGGTGGGGTTTAAATAAATCTGTGATTCCTACTTCGGTAATTTATCATTCAGTTCAGGAGACTACATAAACACTGAGAAGTTTAGTAAAAAAATAGTAATAATACACTTTTTCTTATTTTTGTACAGGTTCCTGTTGCATGTAAATCGTGTCCTTGTGGTTATATATTTATTAGCAGAAAACTTTTAAATGCAAAACACCCAGAGAAATCACCACCTTCTACAGGTAATTGTGAGAGTTTACCACATATTTAGCTTTTTGATTTAGAAATGTAAAATTAATTTTTGTGAATATATTATTTACATCTTGAAGTTAAAAATTAAAGCCTATTGAAGTATGCCTTTGGTTTTTATTAGCTGTTGGAAATCAGCTATGACATTAGTTTGCTCTTCATTCCATTTAAATGTTAACTCCCTTATAATGCTGATAAATCTTGTAGCAAATTTTCTGTTTTTTATTATTGAAGGATGGAGAGCCATTGAAGGGTTTTAAGCAAGGGAGTGATCTGATCTGATTTCTAAAAATAAAAAAATAATTTAAGGTATAACTGACATTCAATAAATTGCACATATTTAAAGTGTACAGTTTGATACGTTTTATCCTATGATTACACTAGTCACCACAATCAAGATAATGAATAATGTTTATCATTCCCAAAAGTTTTTTAGTTCCCCTTTGTTACTCTGTCCTTACTGCTCCACCCCCAGATAACCACTGATGTGCTTTCTGTCATTATTTCTAGAACTTTATATATAAATAGAATCATACAGTATATACTCTTTTTTTTTGCTTGGCTTCTTTCATTGAGCATAATTTAAGATTCAGCCATATCATTGTGTATATCAGTAAGAATTAATTCCTTTTTACTGCTTAGTAGTGCTCTTTATATGGATAAACCACAAATTTTTTATCCATTCACTGGTTGATGGATCTTTGGTTTTATCCTCCTCAGTGCTAGTAAAATTTATAATGACTTAAAATATTTTCTTGGACTAGTGACTGGAAAAATATAACTTGATTTTGAGGTGAATATAATTTTTAGATAATTTGGTTATTTTTTATAATTCTCTGATTTAGAATATCTAAAAAATATTTTTTTGGAATTTTACTTTCCCGTTAGTGTAGACAAATTGGATTTATTCAGTGGATTGAATTTTGAAATGCAAAAGATGAAATTTTGTTGTGTATCCTTAGATAAAATCAGAACAGTGATGATCTCCAAATAAGAGTAGATTGATTACAAATAAATTTTGAGTACCTGCTGTATGCTAGGCACTGTTCTAAGCCTTGGCCGTAAAGTAATGAATGAATCTACTGTCAAGGCAGTTCACTGCTGTTTTGGAGCTTACGTTCTTTTGGGCATGAGATAGACAATGAACAAATAAACAGCTTGTGATAAATGCATTGTAGGAAATTAAAATAGATTGCTGTCCTAGCATGTGTCTGGAAGGCTACTTTTGATTGGGTGATTGGAGAAGGCCTCTCTGAGAGGGGACAATTAACCTGAGGCTGAATTGAAACAAGGGGCTAGCCATGATAAGATCAAGGAGAAGAACATTCTTGACAGATGAAATAGCAAATGCAAAAATTTAGGGCTGGAAAAAGTTTGGTATATTTTAGGAACAAAAAGGCCTATGTGGTTGCAGTGTAGACAGTAAGAGCAGGGGAGTGTGGGAGATGAGGCCACAGGGATAGGCAGAGGCCAGATTGTGTAGGGCTTTGTAAACCAGAATAAGAAGTTTTGGATTTTCTTCTTAAAATATGAGGACAAACTATTCCTAGGATGTAGGATGGAGTGAGGGAAAGGTAGCATGCTCTGATTTGTCTTTTAGAAATTACATTTTGGCTGCTGTCTAGAGAATAGTTTGTTGGGAATACAAGATAGAAGTGGGCTATTGCAGTAAGTTAACTGAGTGAGAATGCTGAGTTAGTGCTTAGGTTATAGTAGCAAGTGATTAAAGAATTATTTATATTTATGTCTTTGAGAGGTCTGTTTATCTTAGGTCTATATAGAAGTGGCAAGAAAGTTATTTAATTCCATTTCTGCCTTTGTTTGAGTTTGTTCCCTTTCATCATGAGAATAAAGACTTTGCTGGATAACTATATAGGAATCAGCGAGCTTGTTAAAAATGGGTTTCTGGGTCTTATTCCCTAAGCGTTTGATTCAGGTATGAGAACCCGGGAATGATCATTCAGTAGGTGTCTGGGGTGGCATGTCAACTCAGTTCCGGGCCTCCAAAATAAGTAAGACATGGTTCGTGCCCTTAGCAGGACAAGTGTGTTTATTTTTTTTATTCAACAAATATTTTCAAGCGCCTTCTATATACCAGTGGTTCAGGTGAGAGATGAGGTAAAGAAGATACCCAACAAGGACAGAGAGAAGGGACAGATGCTGCAAGTATTAAGGAATCAGAATCACTTGAACCAGAGGGAAGAATTTTACAATTACTCTCAATGACTTGGATTACTGGTTAGAAAGGGAATATAAAATATGTTAAGGAAAAAAAAAGAAGAAGATAGCAGGAGGGGAAGAATGAAGGGGGAGAAATCGGAGGGGGAGACGAACCATGAGAGATGATGGACTCTGAAAAACAAACAGGGTTCTAGAGGGGTGGGGGGGTGGGGGGATGGGTTAGCCTGGTGGTGGGTATTAAAGAGGGCACGTTCTGTGTGGAGCACTGGGTATTATGCACAAACAATGAATCATGGAACACTACATCAAAAACTAATGAGGTATGGTGATTAACATAACAAAAAAACTTAAAAAAAAGAACGGGAATATAAAAAGGAAGACAAGTTTGGAGGGAAAGATGAAGAATTAAGTTTTGGGTGTGGTTATGAAATATCATCCATGTGGATTTTTTTTCCCCAGTTGGACATATAGTTTGAAGCTTAGGGAATAGCCTCAACTGGTGATAAATCTTTTGAGCCATCAGTGAATAGATGGTAGTTGATCTCATGGAAATGGATGAGCTTGTGCCCAGAGGGTTGGTAGGTAGGAAGAGGAAGTTCAGTGACTGAACTCTGGCAAACTCGTCTTAAAGGGTGGAGGTTATTAGGGAGGGAGTTTAGGTCAACTGAGAAGATGTACATGTCAGCTATAGGAGAACAACCAATGGAGAGTGGTGTTACATAAGTCATGGTGATGAGTAAGAAGCAGTTTATTATTATTTTACATTTGGAATTTCCTAAGGTCTGTTGTTTAATGAGAGTGGTCTTGTGACCTTGAAGTAAAGATGAGATATTAAAGCCTAGAAATTTCCTGGAGGAGGAAGAGGAACCAGCAAAAGAAACAGAAAAAATAGTTTGAAAGGATGGAGAAACATCAGGAGTAGACTGTGCCATAGAAATTAAAGGAGGAAAAGGTTTTAAGGAGAAAGGGTTAAGAGTATTCAAAGCCTAGAGAACAATTTGATATAGTCAGACATGGGGGTTGGAAACCTTGGCTTCAGATTCAGTTTAGAGAGTTTTGTCACTCTCCAACAAGTTAATTAACCTCGGTGAGCAGCTGCTATTGAGTATAAGATAGGCTTATAGTATAAACCTTAGAGGATTGAAGTGCAGATGAAGTGCAGATGAATGTGGCTAATGTAAACAGAGTTTAGTATGTTATAGGTACTCAAATATTCATTTCTACAATTAAATTTCTTTAAAGATTTGCCTTGGATAGTTTGTAGTATGTGGGAGATTGAGTACATAATTTTTAAAATCTCTATAGTTTATTAAGTACTTGAACATTGTTAGTGGGATCCAGAACATTTCAGTTTTAATTAGAGAATTTATACAGAGAAAATGAAAATGGATAATATATATCTGGAAAGATAATGAACTTTGTTAATAATCAGGGAAATGCAGTTTAATTAAAATACCATTCTTTTTACCCCCATTCTGACAAAAATGTAAAGGATTTCCAAGAGCTTTTATGAGTATGGCAGAATCCAAAGTCTCATACTAGTGGTGAGGTTGTAAATCAGCACAGCTTTTTTGTAGAACAGTCTGACAGTAGTTGTTAAAAGTTTTAAATGCACGTAATCTAGAATCTAGACTTTTTATCAGTAGGTATGTATCCTAAAGATACAATTGTTTTTAATACACAGTGAAATATTTATTAGGATTTATAAGCAACACTGTTTATAATAGCAGAAAATTGAGCCAAATATCATCAGTAGGGAAATAGTTAAGTAGGGTGCATCTTTTAGGGAACAACAATATGTGCTAATTAGAGAGAATGATGCAGATTTTTATGTACTGACATGGAAAAATCTGTAAAACGAAGTTAAGGAAAAGAATAAAACAATACTTGCATGAATTCATTTTTGTTTTACAAAATTTTTTTCTTGTAATGAGAACTTTTAAAATTTACTCTTAGCAACTTTCAAATATGCAATACAGTATTATTAACTATAGTCACCATGCTGTATGTTACGTGATTATGATTTATTAATATTATAATTAGAAGTTTGTAGTTTTGGACCCCCTTCACCCACTTCACCTCCTCCTCCCCCTCCAACTCTCACCTCTGGCAACCACCAATCTGTTCTCTGTTATTTATGAGCTCTGGTTTGTTTCTTAAGATTCCACATACAAATGAGATCATATGGTATTTAATCTTTCTCTCTCTGACATATCACTTAGCATAATGCCCTGAAGGTCCATTCATGTTGTCAAAAATGGCAAGATTTCAGTTTTATGGCTGGATAAAACTCCACATTACTTTTATCTGTTCATCCATTAGTGTACATTTAAGTTGTTTCCATATCTTGGCTATTGTAAATAATGCTGCAGTGAACATGGGGTGCATATATCTTTTCGAGCTAGTGTTTTCATTTTCTTTGGATAAATACCCAGAATTAGAAGGAATTGCTATATCATGTGGTCATTGTTTTCCATTTGCTTTTAAGACCCCACAAAATTATCTCTACATGTAATGCATAGATAGATAGATCACTAAATAACGAGGAAGGAATCAAGGAAGACTTTTACTTATGTAATTAAACATTTAAAACAAGAACGAGAGCCATCTGTAAAGTTCAGATTGAACTTATTTTAAAAGTGAAATCAAAGCTATAAAAGATAATTTTAAATTTCAGTGGGTTGAAATTTCTTTTGTAACTTTGTGATGTGTAGGAGGAAAATAATCTGTCAAGTCAGATTTATCTAAGCTTGAGCTGCTCAAAACTCACATTTTTCAAATATATTATCTGTATATCTTTATTACACAGTAG